CCCCCACCAGATATTCGGTTTGTGAGTGCAGGAGGAATAAATGTCACTGTGGGTGTGTGTGTGTGCGATGGTGTGCGGAGCGGTAAAACTGGGGAGAGAGAAACTGACGCCCGGCGCTATTTGGATAATCATATTTCTCTTGGAAGTGGAAATGATAAATTATGCTAGACGTTAGGCAAGCATCTGAGTGCCGTCTGTTATACGTCCCGAACAAACGTATCCCAATCGCGTTCGCGTTCTCTTTCACGTTCCCGTTCACGCCGATCCTTACGTCGTGATTTGGATGTTGATGAACGTTCTTCGACAAACACGGTGCGGATTTCTCGTCCCCCAGCTTGTGCCAAAATCCATTGCTCCATATTCCCATTAAGCATTACAACCTGAAAGGATAAACAACGTCACATGATGATTGTAGATAGCTTTCATAGAGATAAATAGTGAGGAACGACGAATGCGAAGAGCACTGGTCTGGCGATTCTAAAGACCGGCAGTCCATCGGGCTATCACAACTTGGTTTATAGCATTTGTAAAAAGATAGCCCAGGGTTGAAACTTTATCTCGTGAAACACTGTGTAGGCCAATATGTGGTCAGTTCTGGGAATTATACACTTGAATAGTGAGGATGTTCGTACGACTGTGCACAGGGACGACACACTTAAGCGCTGTGTGTGTTGAGCCCACAAGGATCGCGCAGTAATTGCAGTCTTCCAGTTTTACTCCTTTATCTTATAAAGAAAGCCTGGTCGCACGAACCAGACGCATTGTACTACCGATTTTCTCTAGGAAGAATGGTTCTAAAAACGTTGCTTCCGAACGGCTTCCCTAATAAATTTATCGACTTCCACAGCACCCCGCGGCCTAAGCGTGAATATGACAAATCAGTAAAAAGTAAAGTAGGTTTTATCGGACTGTAGTCTGGGGAGAGCCCACCAAAACACAATCATATATCGTAAATTACATGGGGTGGATTATGCAGTAACGGTGAAATTAACTTTGATCGAACAGTCGGACGCTTATGCGAGCGTGTCTCGGAATTTATGCCTCATCACCTGAGTCTATTGACTGGTCGATCGACCAATGGTCTGCGAGATAACACCCGAAAACTTGCCTCACCGATCGATGAACACCTTCTATCGACTGGTCACATTGTTGATCGCAGTCTAGCGTATAAAGTTTTAGCCCGCAACTTCCGGGCAATTCAGATTTAAGTAGAAACACAAGGTTGGAGAAAACTTTCGAAAGGTGCCTACCCGATGAGCACCAATAAGTGCGAAACCGATGGTTGTCTGTCGAGGGATTTTCAGCAACCTCATGAGTAGTGTATTACGTCTATTAATGTATCCACCATAGCTCAGTTAATAGTGGACGGCAAA